GACCTATTGGAGGCCCTGGGCATATTAGGATAATGGGGCCCCTATGACCCCCGTTTGGTGATCTAACAGGAACTAGGGACTTAGTATTTGATCTGAAGTGGGACCCTATCGATCGCAGGGCCTTGGGCACTTGCCCAAAGTGCCCGCTGGGAAAGACACCTAGAGCTCTATGATGTCACAACCACCACGCGCCCAGCAAAAAATTCGTTTAGTAATTTGGTCATAACTTCGTCAATATTTGTCGTAGAACAAAAATCCACCACTGTATCTTATTAGCTAGACAGTTGAAAATTTCACAGATGAAGTATTTGTGTAAAAAAATAATATTTAGGGAGGCTTCCATACAAGAAATATGTTCTTTGTCGTTTTTGCTCTTTATTAATAAAGGCAACAGGTAGACGCTTGAAATGTTCATAAAATATTTAGTCGTATATTCACTTTAGCAATCCGACATACTTGGCCGATTTTTCATATTAATAAGTAGGCAAACTTATTTCGAGTTTCAATACCCAAGCAATAAAAGTAAAATAAGTTGGGGCAGATGATAATAGGGGTCACAAACACGGATTGTCTCTGATGGTGGTTTTAGATATTTATTCCATAATCTGACATTAAGAAACAAAGATAACCTTGCCGCAGCAATTAAAGAATTCAAATATGAGTATTTATCATATACAGGGTGTTTCTTCTAGGGTGTCAAGCCAGTGCGAGTTGATAGCGGAGTACCATACCCATCTATTTAACCCCCATGTATGTTCTACGATTTTGCGTAGTTTTCGAGTTATATTTTTTTTCGTTATTTTTTAAGTTCAACGATAAGAGAACTTTAAAAAAGTATAAATTCTTTTTGGGTAACTTTTTCTGCGATATTTTTTTAACAGAATGCCTATTGCTTGCAGTTTTATATGTAAAATAATCTCCTTTCTAACTTTAACCTAAGATATAAATTATTTTATCGATACTAAGTGAAAATGAATTAAGAAAAAAAAAATGGATTTTCAATTGAAATAAAAAACAAAAATAGATGTTCTATAACTTCTGACTAATTTTAAAAACTGCCCGATTACATCATAAGCTTTCATTAAAATACAAAAAAAAGATGTACTACCTAAATGCGGCATTATTTATTGAAATCTGTTGTTGAAGGTGTTGTATCGGAAATCGAGTAATTTTAATATTTTATAATTTAAGATACTACTCTTTGCATATTTTGTCAATCTTAAGTTTTATTATCCCTTTTAGTTTAAGTGGAGCTCATTCGAAAAAAAAAATCATTTTATGATAACTGATCCCTCGAAACTCCTGTTATCCTGCTCCTCAGGTATTTTTATTTTACGCTTAAATAAGGAAGTGTCTACGCGTACGTTGAGGACTCGCGATTGAGCTTGATATGTGTCCGTGATGGTAGCGTACCCACGATCAATGTACGGTTTTTCGTTATGCCATTAAATACCGCGTAAATAGTGCCAAATTAGTGTAAAAATAAAAAAATCAGTGCCTCTTTAATTAAAGAAATACAGAGCATTTTTACTGGGTACGCTAGCATGACGTCAAGCTAGCGTACCCATGGCCGTCCCCAAGAACGGCATATATTTAAACAACGAAATTGACACACAAAAATAGTTCGCAAATAGTGCCCTGGCTTTACAAAATTTCATAATCAATACTCTTAAAGGACCAAAGATATTGAACTAAACATTCTTAGCTGGCGTCAACCTGGCGTACCCATAATAGTTCTCATAGAAAATGAACTTTTCTCGTTATCAATTCTTTATGTATAAATAGTGTGTCAAATAGTGCCTCTAACAATTAAAAGTATTTTATGTGAATTCGCAGTAAAACAATATAAAAAAGCATTTGAATTATTTTTATAAATGAAGTACAGTCATGTACAGAAGTGATAATATTTTCGTAATATAGTTGGTAAGTAAGCTACTTAGTAGGTAGGTTGAAATTCTTATATGAATTTATGATTGGTGAATTCAAATTGAAATAAAATACCTTTTTATAAAAAGTACCTTTTTATTTTAGTAAAAATTTAATTTTAGTGCATAAATTAATTTTGTGTGCAACTGTACTACAATACATTTGTTCCTAGAATTTAACATCCTCTTTATGTATTGTTGGGATTAAAATTAATTCACTTAAAATACTTTTACTGTTAGAGGCATTATTTGATACACTATTTATACATAAAGAATTAATAACGAGAAAAGTTCATTTTCTATGAGAACTATTATGGGTACGCCAGGTTGACGCCAGCTAAGAATGTTTAGTTCAATATCTTTGGTCCTTTAAGAGTATTTATTATGAAATTTTGTAAAGCCAGGGCACTATTTGCGAACTATTTTTGTGTTACTATTTCGTTGCTTAAATATATGCCGTTCTTGGGGGCAGCCATGGGTACGCTAGCTTGACGTCATGCTAGCGTACACAGTAAAAATGGTCTTTATTTCCTAAATTAAAGAGGCACCATTTTTTTATTTTTACACTAATTTGGCACTATTTACGCAGTATTTAATGGCATAACAAAAAACCGTATATTGATAGTGGGTACGCTACCATCACGGACACCTTGATATCCGATTGAGCGAGAGTCCTCAACATACGCGTAGACGCTTTCTTTAGGGACAATAAGACTTAAGATTGACAAAATATGCCAAGATACTACGAAATTATAAAATATTAAAATTACTCAATTTTCGATACAACACCTTCAACTACAGATTTCAGCAAATATGCCCCATTTAGTACATCTTTTTTTGTATTTTAATAAGAGCTTATGTAGTCGGGCAGTATTTTAAAAATAGTCAGAAGTTATATATGGCTATTTTCATTTTTTTTTATTTCAATTGAAAATCCATTCTGTTTTACTTAATTCATTTTTTTTTAGTATCGATCAAATTTTCTATATCTTAGGTTAAAGTTAGGAAGGAAATTATTTTACTTATAAAACTAAAAGCAAAAGGTATTCTGTTAAAAAAAATGGAAAAAAAATGAACCCAAAAAAAAAGTTATTTTTTCTTAAACTTGTCACATCGTTGATTTTAAAAATATCGAAAAAAAATGTAACTCGAAAACTACGAAAAATCGCAGAACATACATGGGGGTTAAATTGATAGGTATGGCACTCCGCTATCAGCTCGCAGTGGCTTGACACCCTAGAAGAAACACCCTATATAAATGTAGTTTTTTTTCCAACACACACCAATTAGCCTAGCCCCAAATTAAGCACTGTAGGCTTGTGGTATACTAGGCTAACGGATAGAATACATATACTGATACATATATTAATATAGAAATAGATATTAAACATCCATGATTGTAGTACAAATGCAGGGGTAGATGTTTGTGTTATTCATGACACCTGGATTCGAACCCGGGACCTCTCGAGCAGGCGATACCTTGAAACGTTCATACCACTGGACCACGGAGGTCGCGCTAACATATCACACTGATATTATAAAGGCGAAAGTTTGTGTGTGTATCTTTGTTACTTCTTCACGTCTAAACGGCTGGAGCGATTTTAATAAAATTTGGTATTGGTATATTATGGCTGACACCCTGCATTAACACATAGGCTACGTTTTATTGCGGGAAAATATCCCTAATAAACCGCGGGTAACACCGTGGGGCACAGCAAGTTTAAAATAAATTCGAAAGGGATAGTTACCAACTTTAACGTTCCAAAATTCTATAGCATACCTAAAGAGTTACTATAGCCAGATAAAATACTGTTTTTACGTTAGGGTTAACTGATAGAATTCTTAAGTATATCTTAATAAACTCTAGAAACTCTTCAACTCGTCCAAGTTAACTACTAGGCTTTCGAACAAGCATCCATCGCTTGCCTTTCCGTGGAATCTTCTTTTCTTATTTACTCGTAATTATATTTACTTAGTTGCCTACTCATCAAAAAAGTCTTAGCAACATGAACCTTTTGAACTTTTGCCATTTTTTTATATTTTCAATACTTTTTTTTATATTCATTTGTTAATAGAAACATTTTGAATTTTTACAGACTTTTCGGGAAACGTTTGAATAAATTATAACTTTTATAACGATAATATAAAATATCAACAGATAAAACTTGCAGTTTGCGTAAATTATGCATGTTGGTTGGAGTTTTTCGATGTTTGTAGATAAGTAGGTTTGAATGAATTATTTCATTGTATTTCTACAAGACACAAATTACTTATATTAGTTATATTATAGAATATAATGATAGTACAACCGGATCTAAATAGAATTAAATTCCATTGTACGGTTAGAGCCATTTCAAAGATTAATGAAATCATTAAGATGTAGGTTATTTTTAGTACATGCACTTATCAGGAGTAGTAGAGAACACACAGACAGTATACAATTTACATTAAGAATAAAACTGTTAATGAAACTTTTAGATGCTTATGCTTAAATACTATACTATAAGTATGTACTTATGAAACATTCTAATGTTTCTTTGGTTAAGAAGAGATACGATAAAACATTAGTTTGATAACTCTAGGTTTATGAAAATGGACCAAAGGAATTAAGTCAGTAAATTAATCAAAATCATCACAAAAATAACGCAGGATATACAAAACAAAATGAAATATTTAAACGAACTTTAAAAAGCAGCTTGAGCAGCAAATATAAATAGATTATATCTAACTATTAAAGTGAAAATTGTTTTTGATTAATGGGAAATGATGAATACCGCTTAGTGTCGAAGGTAGCAATCATACATCAATGCTGCGCGTAACAGGTGTCAGGCGATTTCAGGTCAGAAACCGTAGAAACCGTAGTATATCAACAAAACTGAACGTACATATATTTTAATGTTGACTAATATAGTCGCATTAACGCTTAGCATAAGCACACATACTTAGTTAAACAAAAATTCGCAATGAAGTTTAATGTCGATACAGGAAACATTGTTATCAGGAGAGATAATAGTGGCATGCGTTAGTGTGTGAAATGTTAATGAATATTGAATGTAATGTGGGCAAATGACATACCAGGTGGTCGTGCGATGGCGCACACTGCGGCCGCAGCGACCAGCAACGGCACCAACAAGTGCATCCCGCTAAGGCTCGTCAACGGGTACAGTCTACGAGCGAGTGTCTTGTTTACTGGCTGTAGCGGGATGGAGCTCTGACGCGAGCTCACTCGCGCTTACTTGCGCCGCGCCGATCGATACCCCGCCCACATGAAAATCCACACTCAAATAATAACATCCTAACATGGCAAATTCGCCTCTAATGCTGTCCAGAAACATTCGTTCCCCTACTCTTTACGACCTTTTGGAATTCACCACTGTGGTCTCGGACATTTTAACCACGAAAATCGTCTTTGTGCACATCGTAATAAAGTTTATTATCTACTTAAATAAAAGGGTTGAATGAAATTTTACACTTTGCACCAATGACGTTATAGGGTTGTTAGACATAGACGCGTACCTCTGAATGCCCTAGAAAAAAAATTTAAGATTTTAGTTAGGTAAATAATTTTATTATGCAGTCGCATACAACACCAACTTTCATTTTCAATTACAATGTAAATTGTGGAAAGTTTTGAAACAGTAAGATTTTTTCGCAGTTACAGCCAACAGATAACTTTTGTTTGTGAGGCTAAAGATAAAATTCTTAGATAAAGATTTGGCAGTCCCTGAAAATGAAACATCGACCATATAAAAGAATATCAAAATTGTATAAAAAATTCCAATTTCATTATTTCCGATCTATATTTTATCAGATAAGTTGATAGAGATTATGAGATTTTTACAAGTTTCTTTTTTGATTTTCTCTTGTATCGCTTTCGAAATACACTTGAAATGTAGTTTGCTGTTTAAAAACTGTGCAACCGACAAGTTGCGCGCATCGCTTAAACACACAGCCACCTGACGGCTTCAATTCTCTCTTGTAGAATTTCTTGGAAAAGCACCGCTCTACGCCCCGTGTGGGCTTAATTACTCGTTACACTGAACACCGCTGTTTAAAATTCCCTGTAGTTATTTGCAATATCGATCTACATCATACTTACATCGACTGGATTACTTACTTGCTCATAATTTTTTTTTCATAATATTTTTATTCGATTATTTACAATATGTCTTTTTAATTATGTCATTCTTAATCAAATTTCAACGTGTTTAATAATATACTGTCCGTGCTCGAGGCTGCTATTTGATACAGCCAGGGGCACGGGCAGAAGTCTGAAAGAGGAAGCATAGAAAGATAGTAAAGATAAAAGTAGGTAACAAGAAAATAGGGAGGTCAGAAACAAAGTAAAGAAAAGTTGATTCACATTAGTGCCGTTAAATACTACTCGTTTGCTTCGAGTTGGCCGTCGATAGCCAATCACAGGCACATCAACTGGTACCATCGTCCAATAAGGTCGACTAATAGGAACTGTCTAAAGCGCGGTGTTCTGAAGCTGGGAGGGTGGAAGCAACCAATTCGAAGCGAACGCGTAGTGCTTTGGTTATTAAAAGTATGCGTTATTAATAGAATGCAGGGTTCACTCAACACATTCACGCAAATTCATGCACACACACAGAGAGATACACACACACACACACACACACAATCAGAGCGGGCACCCGCTCGGCGCGCTTGCTTCATGCCATTTCATAGAGCAGCGCCACGTGAGATGGGTCTCCAAGAAATGACACAAAAAAAAAAAACTGCACGGCGAGCGGACTCGCGCCCGACGCCCCGCCCAAGGCAGCGCAGGCTTTAACAGTGCAATATTGTAATGTACATTATATTGTGATGCTAAGTGCATAATTAAACTTATAAGTATCTAGCTGTGTGGGTTAAAGTCAAGACACACCAAAGGACGATGGGGAAAAAAATAGGCCCTGATTTAAGTACATCTGTGTTGGATCACATCTCCGGCGGCCGCGGAAAGGACGCCTTTGAACAGGCCTCGTTAGAAGCCTTAGCAAAAATTCTTGCTGTAAACGAAGATTTCTGCTTTAAACTCAAAAATAAAACTTGCAATATACCAACTCAGTGGGACAAAGAGGGTAAAGAAGAGTTATTGAAAGATTTCAGTTTTGAGAAGATAGTTTCAACGAGTGCGACAGATATAAAATCAGATAGATATAAAATCAGGAATATGAAACGGGTTAATGTTGCTGTTTGAGCATATGGCAGTATGTCTAAGTCTATTAATAGTGAATATTGGACAATCAGTCAAAAGATGAAGAGGATCTTGAGGCGTCTGAGTGTCACATGGACATGCGCTAGATGCAGCAATGTGAAAGCGGTATAAATAAGAAAGGTGGGCACCATGTCCTGTTAAAAATTGACTAAGAAATAATGAAGAGGAATAGATGATTAAGAAAAGATTGTGAATCGTTGTTATAGAGAGGAATAAATATCGAGTGTGGGAGCCTTGAGCAGCCTCTTGGTATCGTTTCTCCCACTCTTTGCGAATGCGAAGCCTAGAAAGGCGCTTTACATATGATAATGGGAATCGGTCGTAATCAGGAGCCCTTCTCAAACCTGCAGCGCGACCGGCCTCAGCATCCGCAGCCTCGTTACCTGCAATCCCTACATACCCCCTAACCCAACAAAAACGAATATTTCCAAGAGTGGTGTTCGTGAATAAGTTTGTGGGTAAGTGACACGAGAGGAGTGGCGTTGTTGCGCTGACTGAATGCGTCCAGAGACGATACTGAGTCAGTGAGGATAAGGGTATCTTCGTATTTCCTCTCCACAGCAAGGCAGCAGGCTTTGTAGATGGCATAAAGTTCAGCCTGGAACACAGTGCAAGCTTTGTGTAATTTAAATCTTTTACAAGTAACGGGAGAGGGTGAATCCGGGTCTATGCAAATATAAGCAGCCCCAACGGATTCATTCTCCAGTTTACTACCGTCGGTGAAAATTTACACGGTATTCGGAAGGCAAGTTTCGGCCACTTTTTGTTGTCCTTCAGCAATAGAGTATTGAACAGTGACGCGATATGCGGGGTGCAGAAGATTGGAAATGGGTGTAGGGGATTCCCACATGACGTCATCCGGCAGGAACTGAGTAGTTTGAGTTAATCTACTTCTTTCAATTTCGCGCACATGTAGCACCTCCAAATCAAGGAGTGTGAATTGTGCCAGGGCTAAGGCAGCATTAGCCGAAACCGTGCGATAGGCCCTAATGGCTCGGATAGCAAATACATGCTGTAGCGATTGTAATTTACGTCGAACAGTAACTAATTGTGCAACATGACCCCAAATACTTGCAGCATAAGTAACTGTGGGCACAATTACGTGCCTGTATATTGTTTCGATATTTTTAGGATGACGGCCCCAATAAGGCCGAACGAACAAACACATTCGCGTAAACAGACTTTGTGCTTTATCAATGACATGGTCCACATGTTTGTGAAAACGAAGGCGATGATCTATGACAACTCCCAGTAAAGTTAATTTAGTGCTATAAGGAATGATGGTGTTTAACATTGATAAACTTGCCCTAGCCGCCTTGGAAGTAAAAGCCAAGGCTTTTGTTTTATCTGGTCCAAACGTTAATTTGACACCTAGTCCCCAATTTGCAACCATGTCTAGAGCTTGTCGAGAAAAAACGTCATCTGTATAAGCTTGAATACGGCAGCCGGCGGGAAAGGACAGGCCGAGAAGACCATCAAGGATAATATTCCACAACGCTGGCCCACAAGCAGATCGCTCGCTGGGTGGTAGTGGTAGCAGTGACACCCGCGTGAGATAAACCCACCGTACGTTCACGGAGATAGTCAGCAACGAGGCGGAAAATGTTGGCGGGACTTCCAATCTCCTTTAATCGGGATAAAATGGCGGGCCACCAAGCCTGATCAAATGCCGATTTGATGTCTAATGAAATGACTACTGTGGGACGTTTTTCGCCTAAATTGTCTTTAATATAGGATATAGCGTCGTTCAGTGCATGAGTCGTCGAAGAATGTCGTCTGAATCCATATTGGAGTGGGTTAAGAGTTCCGCTGGTGGAGGAATGGTGCAAAATTCGCTAAAAATAAAAATTTGAACCAGGCATGTTGAACATTTAACTTTGTAGTTTTTCAAATTCAAATGCTTTATTATGAAATGTAGGTTAGTACAGCAAATTGGTTTATAGGTAAAAAGTTTAGTGTCACTATACTTCGACCTTATTACAAGGTATACAATATTTTCTATGCAATCATCAGGTTTACAATTATATAAAAATCTAAATTAGTATATTACAATTACAATCAAACAAGTCATAGTTAGAATTAAATGTCAAAATATGGTTATGTCTAAATTACTAAGCAATATTTTTATCTAAAGAAAAGTTTTACTAGAAAAAAATATTTTTATGTCAAACTAATTACATTATTAATAAATTTAAATACTTATATAAATATAAGTTAATTAGGTAATTATGTCCATTTCTTTCAAGGAAGTGTCACTAAGGAACTTTTGTGTTATAATATACTTTGTCAATTAATAGCTTCGTTAAGCGTTTCTTGAAGATAGTCATTGGCAAACTAATATTATTGGGATATTTTGTTAAAAAATTTAGTAGCCACCCCTAAGGCATTATTGCTAAATAGTGCAATTTTAAGTTCCATCGTACATAATGTACACTCCCGGACTCTTGAATCGAGCCACCTTACATTCCCGGGCCTAAAAGCCCAATACACAAAAAATATACAATATAACAAAAAAGTTTTTATGCATTTTTAATGCTGGCATATTTCATCGTCTTTCCCGTATGTAGGGACACGATATCGAACAGAAAGTATCGATACTGTACTCATGAGTAGTATCGGAAAAAAAGTATCGTACTCGTAAAAGTATTGAAACAAAAGTATTGATACTTCGAAGTATCGAGTACATTTCATAAGGCCATATGAGATATCCAAATGGATATGCCATGGCGTTGCCATCAATATCCAAATGGATATTGATCAAATAAAACTAGTTTTTTCGGGTTAATGCACGAAACTTTATTTATTTATTGACGTTTCGCAGCCTTTTCAGGTCTGCATCGTCAGAATAATGATTTTTTATTAAAAATTGTCGAGCTACCTTCGAAAGACTTATATTGAGCGTTCGGTTATTTCAAGTAGCTTCTTCTTAGTGATTTCAATGCAGTCCTGTACTGGTAGGACTGCATTGAAATCACTAAGAAGAAGCTACTTGAAAATAATATGCCTATAGAATATGCAGTATCTCCAGTAATACTTAGTGATTTCAATGCAGTCTCGTGCATTAACCCGAAAAAACTAGTTTTATTTGATCAATATCCATTTGGATATTGATGGCAACGCCATGGCATATCCATTTGGATATCTCATATGGCCTTATGAAATGTACTCGATACTTCGAAGTATCGATACTTTTGTTTCAATACTTTTACGAGTACGATACTTTTTTTCCGATACTACTCATGAGTACAGTATCGATACTTTCTGTTCGATATCGTGTCCCTACATACGGGAAAGACGATGAAATATGCCAGCATTAAAAATGCATAAAAACTTTTTTGTTATATTGTATATTTTTTGTGTATTGGGCTTTTAGGCCC